AGAGAAGTGTTAATCAAGGATTAGAAAGGAAGAGAAAGTTTGATTCCTGGTACCAAAAAAAAAAAAAAAAAAAGGAAGAGAGGATGCTAGGGTGAGTGAGTCATTGCTTTTACAGCGGAAATCGTTTCCTCATGGTCAGAGCAGCACAGTCCCAGCAATGCCCCATCCGCCCTACCATGCGTCCTAGGGGCTGAGAGGACATGGGTAGCCAGGCAGCTGGCCGAACAACCTCGTCTCTTCACACACCGATGGACCCAGAATTGAGTCCTCATGGGCCAATCAGTCAAGTAACAAAAAGTAAACAAACAATCCAAATCAATCCAGAGAGAAATGAAGCTGATCAGAGATGAAATCTTAGGGGGAGAGGAATTCTCAGAGCTTAAACATGACATTAGACACGACAGAGGAACTCTATAGACAACTATGGAGTCAACTAGTAAAACATAGAAATAACCACATCTGGACAAAAATTAAAGGTAAACATGACTAGAGAAAAGATGGTCACTAATGTGATAGTGTAACAGTTTGGTCACATGAAAATCTCACAAAAATTTCTAGCAAAAAAGAATGTTACCTCTAATAAATAAGACTGTGGAACTATAAAAGAGAAGATACAACTGGGAGAAGACGGCCTGGGAAAAGGATCAAAGTTGCTAGGAGTAGCAGAGACATGATTTGAAAGGCACATAGTAGGGAGAGGGTGAAAACTCAGGAGACACAAATCCTAAGGGAAAACCCTGCCTTCTCATCATGTGAGTGATGTCTTTTTCATTTGGAAAACTTCAGAACTCACAATAACTGGAACACTATGCTTGATCTAGATGTGTCCATTATCTTAGAAATGGGTTTTTAAGATGACCATCCCTTGCACTGGGTACATGTCACTGAAGTGAAATGAGTGTATTAATGAGGGAGGGGTAAAAATATAAAGAACTCTTCTGGAGTGAATCTGGCCAGATGCTTTTCACTCAGTTTCACTCCTCCATGACACCATCCAAAGGAAAAAAAAATCTTAAATACAGTGAAGGGTATACCAGTTGTCCATTTGAAGCCTTGTGTGTCACAACAACAGAACACTTCCCAGTGCCTGCCACACAGGGGATTAGCAAGTCATAAATCCATTCCATGGAATATTTCATAGCTAAAAAAAAATGTCTACAAGGAAAATATGAAGCTAATGTTTAGTGGAAGAAAAGTTCTACATAAAAAGTAATGGACAACATAAAAAGCTCTACAAATGAGCCTGGAAGGAAATACATCCACAGAGTGAAAGTTATCTCTAGAAACGTGGCAAGAGAAAGACGCTTTCTTTCCTTTGTGTTGGTTCCTGAGTTTTCTGATTTGCATATACCTTTATGATGAAAATTATATCCTCTATGCTTTATTATTTTTATTACTGGAGAAAAGCATATCAGTTGGAGAAGAAGTTCGTAATGTAAGGAAATGTTTAAAGTTGAAAATAAGTGTTTGCTGATCTGATTCTAATCCTCTGCAATTTTCAGAGGTAACAGATCACTAAATGATGAACATCCACTCATACTTTTTCCTAAACAGAAATATGCTTTTTAAAAAACAAAATAGGATAATAAACCAGTGTTATGCCTTACTGAGGTTTTTTCACTTAAAAGTGTCCATCGCTTTTCCATTTCAACCATCTTATTGTTCTTAACAGATGCATAACGTTATGTAGATGCTTTATATTTCACTTCCTTTGTTAAATTCTTTTTAGATGTTTTATAATTCACTTCACCCTCCCTCAAGCATGATTTAAGTTGTTTCTACTTGTTTACTATTATATATGAGTTTCTGCTGGTATTTTTTGGGTAGATATATATAGATATATACATATATACATATAGATTTGATTAATTTGGACAAATTATATGTAATAAATAATAAAGTCAGGTTACATATATATTTTATTTTGTGGTTGCAAAATTACTTTACTATTTGAAAAGTTGGTTTATAACATCTGAAGCAAATATGGCAAAATATTACTGTCTATTAAATATGGACAATAGATACATGGGACTCTGTTTATAGTCTTTCCTGCAATTTTCTCTATATATTAATGCTTCAAAATTAAAAATAATTTAAACAAGGGGGTGGTAATGATATGTATTCATTCACTGTGAATATTTAAGAACAAAGCCTCATTAAATAGAAGTAGGCCCTGGGAAAGGGCTTGGGCTGTTTAATGAGTCCCCACGGTGGCTGGAGATGTACAGACACTCATAAGTAGGGGGAGGGAGGGGATGCTCACATTTACGGGGGATCACTCTGTGGCACTGTTCAATGTCTTTTGCATATTTAATTTTAACTTCTTCTTTTTTTTTTTTTTTTTGGTACTGGGGATCGAACTCAGGACCTTGTCCTTACGAGGCAGGCACAATGCCACTGAGCTAAATCCCTGGCCCATGCATATTTAATTCTAATAAAAAATGAGGAGGCAATAAAACAAAACTAAACACAATTTGGTGACTTGCATGTGATAAATCCTTCTTAGAATTACCAAATAAATATGCTGGAAATGAAATTGGTGAAGTTGAAAAAAACAAACTATAAAAAGTGCCCAGAGCTGGGCATTGTGTTGCATGCCTATAATCTCAGAATTCTGGGAGGCTCAGGCAAGAGGATTGCAAATTCCAGCCCAGCCTGGGCAACTTAGTGATTTAGAAAGATCCTGTCTCACAATAAAAAATAAAAAGGGCTGAAGCAGTATCTCAGTGCAAAGGCCCTGGGTTCAATGCCCAGTACCCTGCTGCAACCAAAATAAAAGGTACTCAGAAAAAGCCATCAGTCTCCCATGGAGGTAGAGCAAACTGATACCTGGGATTCTCACTTGAACTGGACCATGAAATGAAGCCAAAGATCTGAACTGGTGAAAAACATTGGCCAGTTCCCAACCAGAAGACTGGCAGGCACATCCCCCATTTCCTTGATCTCCCGGGACAGGTAATCCAGACCTGCTGATCTAGCTTCCAAGCATTTCTGGATTGACTCCCCATCTTATTCTGAATCTCAGTCCTAAAAATGTTAAAACCTTTTTGTTTTGATGTGTATAATTTGTAGATAATATGTTCACATGGCTCAAAAGTAGAAAAATGTATATATAAGGAAATAACTCCTTTCCACCCCTGTCCGCCCATTCATTTCTCCTCCCAAACTCAATTTCCATTTCTGATTTTCTTTTCTTTTTTTGCGGTGCTGGAGATTGATCCAGAGCCTTGCACATGTTAGGGTTAGGGAAGTGTACACTACTGAGCTACACTCCCAGCTCTGTTTCCAGTTTCTTGTCTATCCTTCAGAGACCTCTAGGCACAGATAAGCAAACACACATAGACATGTAATTTTTAGCATAGATGGAAGCATACTTTTCACTGTCCTATACTTTGCTTTTTTGCAATTAACAACTCATATCTGTATAGAATACACTTTGCCATTCCATTTTAAAATCTGCATAGTATTCCACTATACAAATGCACTTCTCATTTTCCTGTTTCCTACTTATATTTGCTCTCACCAAAAGGCCTATGCAGTAGTAACCTTTGGGCTTGTCTTTGCCTGTGTTGTGGGTGTACCTGTAGAATAAATTCTCAGAGGGGAAACTGCCAGATCAGAGAGTATGTACATTTGGCTTTTCATATTTACCAGATTGCCTGCTAAGGGCATGGACAAACTTACACTCCACCTAGCAGCATATGGATGTGCCCCCAGCCTTGCCAAGGCAGCATGTTAGCCAGTCTCTGCCAAGTGGACAAGTGAAAGTGGAGTTGTATTTGAATGAACTACATGAGTCAGTGACTGGGCACTGAAGAGAAAGACCTAAGAGGACACAAGCATTCTGCATCCATGAATGTGAATGTCCTTACCACCCAAACCATCACCCAGCAAAGCAGTTTGAGGACAGTGGTTCTGTGGAGGGCTGCACTGCCCCCCTCTACCACCCCAAGCTGGAGCACGCCCAGAGGGAAAGGCCTGGGCCTGGCTGCATCCTGTGCCCACACCCCGCAGACACTCAGCCAACAGCCTTGGGACTGGCAGAGACCAGACAGGGCAGCATGCAGGACCACGGAGCCCAGGATACACTGGTCGTCGATGCTGCTCAGCGTGAAGCGGGTGTTAGAGAATCGGGCAAAGCCGTCCCTGTAGAGCCAGGCACGCAGCGGGAGGTACTGAGGTGGAGGTGGGAGCAGAGGGAGGAAAGGGGACACACAGGACCTCACACTTCCTGGCATTTGCACCTGCCATTCCCTCCACCTGCAATGCTCTGCTTTTACAGATCACTCTCCAGGCATCCATTCTCACATCAGCCTTCTCTCTCTCCCTCTCTCTCTCTCCCTCTTTTCCAGTTTGGAGATTGAACCCAGGGGCTTCCCACTAAGCTGCAGCTCCTCTCCAGCTCTTTTTTCATTTTTTTATTTTGAGACAGGGTCTGCCCAAGTTGTTAAGTTGCTGTATCTAGGCTCAAACTTATGATCCTCCTGCCTCGGCCTCCCAGAGTGTGGAAGTACAGATGTGCACCTCTATGCCCAGTGTAACATCAGCCTTTGACTCTATCCCTTCTTTCTCTGGGGGAAGATACAGAAGGGAACAGAGGGAATGGCCTGGGCTCTACCACCATGTGTGATGCCCCAGCAGATGTGAGTCCCCGCGGCAGCGGCTGAGCCTGTCTCAGACACCCTAGTGTCTTTGTGCCCAGCACAGAGTAGCACACTATGAAGGGTTAAATATTTGCTGGATGAATGAATGAGTGAGTGGAGGGAGAACAGCAACTCTCTGGCTAAGAGAGTAGACTCTAGGGACAGACTGTCTGGATTTGAATCCCAGTTTTGCCCACTGTGTTCTTGGGCAAGTCACTCAGTCTCTCTGTTCCCTGCTGTACAATGAAATAGCACTCAGAGTCCCCTCACAAGATTGTTAGAGGGACCAGATGACAGCCAACCTGCTAAATAGGAGGGCTGGTGATCACTGCTTGTTGTGGATGACTGAGTGAAGAAAGAGGGACAGGTGGAGGACAGAGCAAGGTGCTGGGCCATCCAAGATGGTGAGACTTAGGTGTATCTGCTACCCCCACCCAGGCCCTGTGTCCTCTGAGGTGCCCAGGTGGAGAGAAAACTCACAAGCTCACACAAGCTCTCCCCAAATAGCCGCCCACCCCATCCCCTGTGCAGGAGGGCCCTGTCCTCAGTGACTCACCGACATCACCAGCACGTAGACTCGCAGGTCAAACTTGCGGCCTGTTAAGAAAAAAAAGGATTAATTTGTGTAACAAATATTGACTACATGTCAGACACTGTGCTTGATGGGGGATACAGCAATGGATGGACGCAAATTCCTTTCATAGAGCTCCCAGTAAGACACGCACATTCACATGTACATACACACACATACACACACTCCATGGTACAAGATAATAGGGTGAGGGTATCAATCTTGGGGACAGGTTGGAATTTAGTGGTTAAGTGGTGACATATGGCATGAGAGAGTGCCTGTCTAGGCCAGCATGGCGCAGAGCCTCAGGTAGGACAGAGGCCCAGAGGGTACCACCAGCGCAGGCCAGGGCAGCTGGGGGGATGGGCAAGCAAGGGTGGCAGGGACAGACCATGCGCAGTCTTTGGAATTTGTTCTACAAAGCATGGGCTGGGGATTTAGCTCAGTGGTTTCGCCGCCTGCTGTGCAAGTGCAAGGACCTGAGTTCGATCGCCAGTACCAAAAACAACAACAACCACCAAAACAAAGCATGGGAAACTGCCATAGGCTGTGTGAGGCTCTGGCCTGTGTTGGAGTGGAGCCAAGGCAACCAGGGCAGTGGCCAGGGCCGGATGGAGACGAGAGGGTGATCAGACAGCTTCAGGAGCCAGCCAGGAGCTCAGCAAAGAGTGGGTGTGGGTGAGGAAGAACCAGTCGCCGGATCCTGGCTTCACAACCTGGGCATGGAGGGGCTGTGAACCGATGGGGAAGCTGGGGAATGAGGGGGCTGCAGGGAGAGGGTTGGATCTGGCTGGTGTTGGGGTTGAGCTGCCAGCAGATAGCCAATAGATCTGGGGCTCAGGGGCAAGGCTGTGGCTGGGGATGTTAAGCTGGAGTCACTGGTATTGGCACTGACATCGGTGCTGTGATACACCTCAGACAACTCTGATCACTGCATCCCCCATACCTGTGTCTACAGACCTTGCGTGGGGAAAGCAGATGCAGTTCAGCTGGGAAAAGCACAGGGTTTCTGAAGGACTCTGGTCTCCCTGGGCCTTGTCCCCTCCATCTCCCTCCAGGTCCACCCAGGTATCATTCAGGTCTCCTGATCCCCATGTGCTCTGGTTCAGTGCTGTCCTCTCCTCCGGGGTACTGGTACCATGGGAGCAGTGGGCAGCACAACCCAGGCCACGGCTGGCTCTATACCTGTCTATTAACAGGAAGATGCATGAGTGATTGACTTGGTTCTCCAAGAAGGGGAATTTTTGTGAACCAAGAAGAGAGTGCAAACAGTGTGCCAGTTCGAGGGAACTGCATGGGCAATGGCTAGGAAGTGGCAGAAGACAGGACAGATCTCTGTCAATTATTCCCTTCACTGTCAGTGCCAGTCTTAGCCCTTGACAGGCTGGTAGCCCAGGCTTCTTGACTGACTCCTTGACTGAGTGGGGAGAGGGCAGGAAGCCAAGACAGGCATCTCACCTCCGATTAAGTAGGGATTCTCGATGTAACGCTGAGCTACATAGTTCTCCACAGGTAGCTCATCTTTCTGGTCATCAGAACTTCTTGTGTCCTACTCGTAACAATGTTAATTATTAACAATCAGTAAGCATTTCCCATATACTAGGAATTACCTTAGACACTGTACTTGGGGTATCTTATTTAACTCTTAAATCAACCCTCTTGGGTAAGTACTAATGTGATTCCCATTTTTACAGATAAGAAACAAGCACAGAGAGATGGAGTGACTTGCCCAAGGTCACACAGCTGGCCAGTGGTACAGCCGGGGTGTAGACCCACACACTTTGGGCCTAGAGCCTGAGCATTTGACCTCTAGACCTCTGTTGCCTGGTAGGGTAGTCACTAGCCACATGTGGTTATTTACATTTACATTTACATTGATCAAAAGCAAATTAAATCACATGCTGCAATATGGGTGAAACTGGAAGACATGATTCTAAGTGGAAAGAAGACAGACACTAAAGGATAGATATGGTATGATTCCTTTTACACTTGATCTTAGCCAAAAGGCCGAGAAGAGATTATGATTCCTTTTATAGGGGGCATGGAAAGGAGTCAAATTCATATGGGCAGAAAGTAGATGATGCTGGTTGGGGGTTGAGGAAGAGCAGGGAGCTGGTGTTTAATGGGTGCAGAGTTTTGGTTGGGGTTGACAAAAAGATTCTGCAGACACATGGTGATGATGGTTGTAAAACAATATGAACACACATGATGCCAGGGAAGGGCCCCCTGGAAAAGGGTTAAAATGGGAAAAATCATGTTATATATGGTTTATTACAATTTTTAGAGAGGAAGTGAAATGTAAAATTTGGCCCTTCAGCAGCCACATGTCAAGCGTTCAGTATCGCCACGTGGCTGGTAGTCATCCTATTGGAGGGCACAGATATACACCATTTCTGTCACCAGGAAGGGTTGCCTGGACAGTGCTGCCAGCCCACTTGACAGGCCCCCAGCTAGAACAGGCACTGTCCCAGGCTAGCTCTCCTCACATAAAAAACCCTTCCTGCCATCATCCCTTTGCAGCTACCTTGTGAGGAACTGAGGTCCAGACACAAGAACCACTCCCTTGCTGGGCTGGCACAAGGGTCCGGTGGAGTGGATACCAGAACTCAGGCCTCCTGGCTCTCAGGCCAGACCCACCCCACCAGCCAGCACCCCCACCTGGCTGTCGGGCCTCTGCTTCCTGAGACCTGGGCCACCCCACCTCTACTCACTTGGCTGCCAGAAGGATTGACAGTGGTGGTGGCGGCATGGGCAGGCTGGGCCTCCAGGCTGGCGAATTTCTTGCTGGCAGTGCCCTGACAGTGGCATGGGAAGAATTGGGACACCTGGTGTTGGTGGCAGGGGAAATGCATTTATGGAGCACCTGCTATGAGCCTGTAGGAGGTGAGTCATCCAGCACCTACCGTACCATGGGCACTGCTGAGGTCCAGAGGGCTGCACCCATTTTCCCAAGAACATGCAGCCCCTGAATGGCAGAGGCAGGATTTGAACGTGGATTTTACTGCATATGTCTGGGCCCGAGGATGTGGTGGGGGCAGGCAGAAAGATGCCCTTAGGGCTCAGCCTAGGACTCAGAGGAGGAGCCAACCCATCTCTGTCTCTCCCCAGCCTGTGAGCAGGAGGAAGGTAAAGGACTTGGAGTGTCGAGCACTGCTAAATGCCAAGCATGTTCCGGTGGCTTCTGTTATTAACTCTGAATCTTCAGCAGCCACTGTTACTATCTCCACTTCCTGGGTCACCAAGGGGTCCAGTAACCTGCCCAAGGTCGCACAGCTACTGAGTGGCAAGGTCAGCATTTGAACCCAGGCAATCTGGCTCCAGAGACCCCCACTGTGGGGAAGAAGCTGAGGCCTGTTCCCTGGCCAGGGCACAGGTTTGGGGTTGGGAGAGATGGGCTCACCTGCCTCCAGTCCGTGATGTCCTTCAGTCTCCGGAAGAGGAAGATGCCCTTGCCCTGAGACCGTGCAACCTGGGGTGGGTGGACAAGGAAGGCAGTTCTCATGTGGGGGCTGTTGGGGCCCACTGTGCCTGGGCCCCTCTCCAGCATTTCTCCATGTCCATCCCCCCTGGTACCCAGCTATGCCATAGGGACTGAACAGGGATGGGGGCAAGAACGTGACTTAGCTCACAAAGACATACATTTGCATGAATAATGCAAAAGAACAGACAATTTAAAAACCATTGCTAACAGTCCTGGGAACATATCATCCAATTCTTTTTTTGGAAATCAATTTGCCTTCCTAATTAGGTTTTGCTTCGGCTAATACTGAAATCAGTCTGCGTTAATTGAACCCCAGCATGGATAATTCATAGCTCTCAGAGGCTGGGGGTTGGGAGAATCTTCAGTATCTTGCAGAGTGGTCCCCATGGAAAGCACTACTTCCTCCTGTGAGAAAGAGCCTACAGCGGCCCTTCCACAGTGCTCACCTGCCCAGCTTTGCACACCTCCAGTGCCTGAGAGCTCACTAACTGCCCCTGCATCCCTTTTTGTTGCAGGATAGCTTTGTTAAACAGTCATCAAAAAGGTATGTACTAGGTGCCTACTATGTGCTGGATGATATGATATCCCCTTAACTCAGACCTCATGGAACTTCCACAGCCCAACCTGTACTGAGCCAAAGTTTGCCAGTCTGGTCTGGCTTCTAGGGCTTCCTGGAAGAAATCTGATTCCAGGGCACCGGAATTGCCGTTTGGTTATCTGCAGCCATCAATAGCTCCCTCCAAGTCATCTTTTCTCCAGCATGAATGCACCCAGAAAGTCCAAACTCTCGTTTCTCTCTGTTCTCCTGGGACATGGCCCACCTGGCCCACCTGAGGCTCTCTACAACAAATGTCAGGCAGAGCCAGCAGGCACAGTTGTACAAGTTCCCCACTGCTCATGCTGGGGACCCCTGCTCTGCCTTCCACATTGTGCACCCTGGATCAGAGTTGTGTGTGCCCACAAAGTGCGCACAAGACTATGAGGCATGGCAGTGGTGCAAGAGCAGCCAAATATGCACAGTGACTCTGAAAAGTAACGTGTCGGCGGACAGCCAGGGCTTCCAAGCCTTGCAGAAGACTTGAGCAGAGACACCACTGTAAACAGGTCCTCAGCTTCATTAGTCACCAGGGAGATGCAAATACAATCACGAGATGATACCGAGACACTCTCTTTGAGAATTGCTATGATTACAGACAATAGCAAGCATTGGTGAGGACAGGGAGAAACTGGAACTCACACATGCTGGCAGGAGTGTGCACTGTTTGGAGACACTGGGCAGAGGTAGCCCTCATGCTCTGTCCTGCAGCTGCTCTCCCAAGTATTTCACAACAGAAACGTGCACATGTGCAACCTGGGGATATGGACAGGAACATCTGTGACAGCATGGTTCATTCATAATAGCTCCTACCTCGAAAGTCCCAAACAGATGAATATTTACTGAATGGAACAGTGTATGAACAATTTGTAAAAGTAGGATGAACCATGTGGCTATAAGGTTGGGGGTGGGGAATGAGGCACTAGTGGTCAGACTCTGATTCCAATGATAGTGAGTACATAAACTGATCTATGCTGTTAGTGGTAGGGAGCAGGTGTGAGTAGAAGGGACTGAGAGGGGCTGCTGGGGGGCTGGTAATATTTATGATCCTGGTGCTGGTTACTTAAGTGTGTTTACTTTGTGAAAATTCATACCATACCCTCATAACTTGGGCATTTTAAATGTTTCATTTTAGCTTCAACTAAAAAGTATCTTCTAAGGTTTATTCCTTTTGATATCAGAACCGCACCCCCCACCCCTGCTGGCTGCTTCTCTGTTGCTATTCCCCTTCCACTCCTTTCTGGCTGCCAAAGCCCATCTCTTCTAATCCAGCTGGGGCTGGAAAGGGTAGATACTAGTTTTCCCAGCTTCTTTTGCAGTTGGTGGAAGCCATGTGACCAGTTTGGGCCAATAAGGACATATCTGCTTAGTGACTCTGGGAAGATTTTCCACCAGGAAGGAGCCAGTCATGGTGGTGTGCACTTGTAATACCAGTACTGTGGAAGAGTGAGGCAGAAGAATCACAAGTTCAAGCCTAGACTGGGAAGCTAAGTGATTTATTGAGACCTTGTTTCAAATAAAAAAGGGCGGGGGATATAACTCAGTGCAAAGGGCCTGGGTTCAATCTCCGCTTCCACAAAATAAGTAATTAATTAATTACAAATACTGGGAAGAGAGAGGAAGGAAAAGAAAGAGAAACAGAAAGAGACAGATGCTCATAAGGAAATATTGTATAACGGGGCAGGCCCTTGCCCACCCCGTGATGTTTTTGCCATAAAATGTTCTGTTCAAGCAATGTACTGTTGGTGGTACATAATGTTTCTACCTAAGATTTCAAGAATGTTCTGTTAACTCCACCCATCTGCCTCAATGAGCATGCTCGCCTAGTAGGTGGGCACCCCCCTCCCCCGCATAGATTTCTATATAAGATTGCTTCCATTTTTGTTTGGGGCTCAGACTTCAGAGAACAAACTCCTCTAAGCCTACCGGAGTAATAAAGTTTCCCTAAATCTCTCCCAGTGCCACTCTATTTCTTTGCCTCCAGGGACCTTCAGATAGCTGTAACACTTGGCTGTAACAGAGCTGTAACACTTGGCTGTAATGCTGAGCTGCCTCGTTTTTCTGTAACAATATGAGAGAAAACATCTGGTCTCTTCCTTCTTTCTTTGAAAGCTATTGTCTGCAAAGGTGATGTCTACAACTGCAGCAGTCATTTCATACCCAGTAAGTGACAAAAAGGCCACACACTGAGGATGCAGAGCTGACAGAAGGAAGACTCTGGGTCTTCAGAGGCATCATTGAGCACATTCCCCAGCCTGGAGCCGCCACCCTACTGCTTCTCGGTCATGTGACATAAGGAGATGTTTACTGTTGAAATCATCTTTAGACTTTGCCATATCTATTCCAAGATCCTATCCAAGGGAACTGCCCAAAAGAACAAAGAACCAACTACCTGTCCAGCAATGTACTAGGGTTGTTAGGGCTGGAATCGCCCATTGCTCTGGCAGATGGCAGCTACTAAAAGCAATCATAATGATATCTCCAGTCTCAGGAATTCTCCAGAACCACATCAAGAGGTAAAGTCAACATTCCCTCCCTTTGAATCCGGGTGAGCCTTCAGGACTGCCTCCACTATGTGTAGCAGCAGTCACATGGTGAGAATTCTGATGCTGGATCGTCCAAGGCAACACAGGTGCTGCCCAGCTGTTTGCCCTGGGGAACCAGTACCATGCTGAAATTCAGAGATGATTGTTGTTTCAATTCTCCCCCTGTGGTAGCAATTTGCTCCTCAAGGATAGATGGCTGGACACTGACTTGAGGGTGATGATTCCTAATGACAGTGACACTAATAGCTACAGTAATACTCCTTGGATGTTCACTCTGTGGCAGGCCTACGGACTCAACCACATTATCCTGTGACAAAAGGTTAATATTAGCCCCCTCTGCAGCCAAGGAAATGAAGGAACAGAGAGCCCAAGCATGTTACCCAAAGCCACCCAGACAGCAGGGGAAAAGTCCAGGATTTAAATAGTTAAATCTATTACACAAGCCTGAGCTCCTAACACAAATCACATGATAAGCATGAGGCCGTTTCTGGGAGTGTCTGTCTCACCTGATATTTTGGGAGTAAAATATTTTTATACATAAAAAGATATATTTGTGGGGCCGGGGATTTAGCTCAGTGGTTTTGCTGCCTGCTGTGCAAGCGCAACAACCCGAGTTTGATCCCTGGTAGCAAAAAAAAAAAAAGATATATTTCTGATTGAAAAAAATTGAATGGATTATTAGAATGAATTGTGGCTTTGATTTTGTGCCAGCTGTGGCCATTCATAGCCCTTGTCCCTCTGACAATGCTGCCCTATCCCTGAGGGCCACATGTATCATGTGACAATCATGGGTGACATTCACTGGGTGTGGCTCCCACATGGGTGGCCAGTCCCTCTTCTCAACAGAACTGCATTTGGGTCACCTCCTCCTGGTGGGCCTGCCTTCTGGGGTGGTTTAGTCCCCTCCTACTGCCTGTGATTGGCTCAGGCGTTGATCTACAGGATGCCAGGGAAAAGTTTGTGTCCTTTAAAAGTGACACAAGCCCAGGACATTCCTTTGTGGCCACAGTCTGTAGGGGTGTGAAGACTTGAAGATAGAGCTGTGGCAGCCACATTGTGACTGAGAGGAGCAGGCTGCCACTTTGAGTTGGAATTGATAGTGCTGCTGAGCATCCCTGAGTCAGCCATTCTTCATTAAAGGAAATTCCCTCAGATCTATAAATTTGAATGACAAAATTTTTTTTCATCTTTATTTTCACACCCCAGCAAGATTTCTACATTTCCTTCTAGATGAGTACAGGCAACGGCTCACAGGAGTCTAAGCCAGGCCTATCACTTTGCCATTAGAAGAAATCAGTTATTTCTTTATTGTATTACAACTGTTGCAGCTATTTCAAAATAGCATTTATGCACCTTATGACTTTGAAATTGTGTTAGCGGTGGAGCCTGCTGTTAGACCATTTAACAGTTCATGAAAAGCACACATATTCACAAAGGATTTTGGAAGAGTGTGTGTGGCAGTGTGAGAACGCACCTCACAGGCCTCCAGCTGCAGAAGAGTGCGAGATCGCTGAGCTCCAGCTGCTGCCTGTTGGCTGTGCCAACATGGGCATTGGCCTGGCCCCTGCAGTGGCTGCTCCCAGCCCCTCCCCTGCATCTGCACCTCTCACAGCAGCACACCTCCCCTGGGCCGCTGGACTCTCCTGAGGCTGTGCTGCAGTAAGGACTTCATTGGCCTCTTTCCTTCCTCTCTTCTTCCTTCCTCCTTCCTCCTTCCCTTCCCCCACTGAGGTCTAAGAGCTCCCCCAGCCTCTCCTTGTGCCCTCCCTGTTCTGTCACAGGTTGAATCTTGTCTTGGCATCTGTTTCTTGAGGCCTACACTAACACAGTTGAATACCTGTTTTTCT